AATCAGCAGCAGAAAGGAATGAGATGACATCAACAGCAAGAACGGCGGTAGCCCGTCCTGCTGCTGCTGCAGCAGCCGCAGCAGCAGCAGCAGCAGCAGCAGCAGGTGGTGCTGCTGCTGGACGGAAGCGTGTTGCTGCTGCTGCTTCTCGTCCTACTCATATAAAGAGGTCCCGCAGGCAGCAGCAGGTGGAGCAGCAGCAAGAAGACAGTTCAGCAGCAGCAGCAGCAGCAGCAGCAGCAGCTGCTGCTGCTGCTGCTGCTGCTGATGCAGAGGAGGAGGACGAGGGGGGGAGAGGGGCTGAAGCAGCAGCGACGAGTGCTCCCGCAGCAGCAGCAGCAGCAGCAGCAGCAGAAGCAGCTGTGCCAGCTGCTGCTGCTGTCGATCCGCCCGCAGTTGATGATTCAGGAGATCCCCAGAGCAGCAGCAGCAGCAGCAGCAGCAACAGCAGCAGCAGCAGCAGCAGTGGCGGCAGCAGGACTCGCCGTGCTGCAGCAGTTGCTGCTGCTGCTGCTCTGCAGTCTTGCATACGAAGGCAGCGGCCTGCCCCCAACAAGAATAACAGCAGCAGCAGCAGCAGCAGCAGCAGTAGCAGCAGCAGCAGCAGCAGCAGCTTGGCTGTGTGTGCAGCCTCTAACATGAGCAGCAGCAGCAGCAGCAGCAGCAGCAGCAGCAGCAGCGGTTCCGGCATATCGTGTTCTGCAGGTTGCCCAACAGCAGCAGCAGCAGCAGCAGCAGCTTCTGCAGCAGCAGCAGCAGCAGCAGCAGCAGCAGTTTCTATTCCTCGTAGTGTTGCAGCAGTGGAAGCAATAACTCTGCTGCAGCGGCTGTGGGTGCAGCCCGTGCTGCTGTATGTGCAGCAGCAAGACCCCCTGCTGCTGCCGTCCCGGGAGAGTTTTGCTGCTGCTTATTCTCTTGTGCGGCAGCTGACGGAGACAGAGGAGACAGCCTTTCAGGTGTATTGTCTCTTTCGTTTGTCTCTCGCGGACTGGGCAGCAAGACAGCTCAGATTTATTATACAGCAGCAGCAGCAGCAGCACAAGCAGCACAAGCAGCACCAGCAGCAGCAGCAGCAGCAGCAGCAGGTGCTGCTGCTGCAGCGAGGGGGAGGAACTGCTGCAGCTAAAAGCACAGCGAGAACTGCTGCAGCACGAGATGCATGCAGCTGTGCTGAATGCGCAGCAGCTGGTATTGAACCCAGCAGCAGCAGCAGCAGCAGCAGCAGTAGCAGCAGTAGCTGCTGCTGCTGTTGCTGTTGCTGTTGCTCTGAGGAGGACCCTGCTGCTGCTTCACACCCATTTACCCCGCAGCAGCAGCAGCAGCACCATCACAACCATCACCATCATCA